ATAGCCCATATACCTTTATTAATCTCCTCTGCCCATGTATGCCTGCCTGACAGCCAAATGTAGTGCAACATTTTGACACAAGGTGATGTGGAGGGCTTACTATTTTTAAGTTGAACCATATAAATCCATATAATTAGGTATAAATGCCCCCTTTCTGACCATGTTATCTCAAGTAGAAGGGAAAAAAATGTTGGCTGATTAATGGACTGGCCAGCAGAGGTCAGTCCAGATATATTAAGACCAGATTAATCCAAGGGCACTTTAACTGACCAGCCACTCCTGCTTTATTTTGTTCAACAACCTTGCAGTTAGTCTTATCCATAGGAGTTACTTCTTAGAAGGATGAAATACTGAGAAATTCTCTCTAGTCATGTGTGCCTGTAATCCCAGGACTCAGAAAGACAGGACAGGAGAATCTTAAATTTGAGGTAAGCCTGAGCTACACAGTATGTTATCCCAGCCTGGTTTCAAATTCATAATCCTTTTGCCACTACCTCCCAAGTGCTGGGTAATTTTTAAGAGAAACAGTTGGGAAGTACTGCATTACCATGAAGAAGTACCTGAAGTAAATGCAAACCTAGACTACAATAGAACATCATATGAATGTATTCAGAAGGCTGGAAACCAGTTAAATTCCAGTTGAGGGTTTGGCAGAAAGCCTGAGAACCTTGCCTTGACTGGGGAGTGGAGCTGCTGGTGAAGTTGAACCGCCTGCTGTTACCTGGTTGTTATTTGCTGCTGCTAAGGTATGTGGAAGAAAGCAACAGGTGGCCTCCCACCTTCCGCCAAGAAGTAGCCAAGAAAGACTGCCATGGATTCAGCTCTCCCAGGCACAGCCTTCTCTACGTGAGGTTTCCACTGGACAGTCCTCCATCTTCCCTCCTCTTCAAGGCCTTTCTTTCCAGGAAAAGGGATAGCTGGTCAACAAATCCACAGCAAATTCAGACGGTGTGCTAACCCTCCAGTTAGGAAGCAAAGAAAGGCACCCCTAGAAATCCGCCTTCTCCAGTCTCAGGGTGTGAAGGGACTGCTTACAGGTGGCAAGAGCCACCACTCCTTTCCTTTCTGGCCTGTGGTCTTTGGAGCCAGCTCTGTGGTGTGGTCATGTCCAGTCATGTAGTTTTCCTCCTGAGTCTTGTTCTCTCGGTCCCTGGATGTTCCTGGAGGCAGCCTCCCCACTCACCTCAGGGGAGTCAGGAAGCCAGGTGTGGCCTCACCCCAGCTTTGCCCCTGTTATTCTTGCTGCAGTGCTTGGTGTGCCAACACCCATTCTTACCCCACAGTGCTTCTGCAAAGCCTTCTCCTCGCTAGTGCTCCTGCTCCACTCTGCATCTCTGGAACATACAGCATCGATTCTAAATTAAACTCCCACCTCCCCCCGTGAAACCCAAGTCACCCCATCATCTTCTAGACCTGCATCCTCACACTTGCGTTTAGTCAGCTCCATGGTGACTAGCCCTGCTCACACCTGGCAAACAGCAATATAGTGTCACTAAAGCCATAACAGACTTGTAAACGGGTGCAAGGTGCATAGATGACCTATCTTCCATGAACCCAAGGCTACCCTAATGCCTTGGGTATAAATAAACCCAACAGTGCTAGGGGGCAGAGGTTGGGGACACGTGAGGCCCCAAATTAATTGAAATTTAGGTTTTTGCTGACAATATTTCTTTCACACTTGAGGGCTGTAGTCTGAATTTAATACCTGCAACATTGATAAAAAAAATTAATAGCTTGGCCAGGCAGTGGTGGCACACGCCTTTAATCCCAGCACTCCGGAGGCAGAGGCAGGCGGATCTCTGTGAGTTCAAGGCCTACCTGGGCTACAGAGTGAGTTCCAGGAAAGGCGCAAAGCTACACAGAGAAACCCTGTCTCGAAAAACCAAAAAAAAAAAAAAAAAAACAAAAAAAACCAAAAAACCATCTTGGTTGTGTGAGACTTTTTCTGAGAACACTAATGAAGAAAACTCACCATGAGTATGGACGGCACCATCCAGTAGGCTGGGAGCCTAGACTGGATAAAGAGCAACGGTTCAGCTGACAGGCACTTATACCATACCTGACGACCTGAGTCTGGTCCCTGGAGCCCACATTGTAGAAGGAGATAACCAACTCCTACAAGTTTCCCTCTGGCCACACACGTGCACTGTAGCATGCATGCTCACGTGTGTGTACACACAAATAAATGTAACTTTAAAATTCCTTTACAGTTTTTTTTTAAGAAGAAGGAAGCCTGTTGGCGTGGGTGTATTCTCTGTGCTCCTATTGCCACGCAGTGAGCTGCTTCCCCACCAGGCCCTCCCTCCGTGACGCTTCTGTCCTACAATGTCCTAAAAGTGTGGCCACAACCAACCATGGGCTGAAACCATGAACATCGAGAAGTGAGGGCCTTGCTGGGACCACCTGACCATGTGGTGTTTAAGCTTTTTTTAAAAAAATCGGTTTGAATATTAAATGTGGAGAAGCAGTCCAGAAGATTTAAAAAGCTAAAACAGGGTTCTGGTAAGAGATCCGGAGCTAGAATTTTGGTAAAAATATGAAGAGTAAAAAGTATTCATGAAGACTTTTTGGGAATTAAAGTAGAGGCCACTCATGAAATTCTAGTTAAGAAAAAAATATTCCATGCTCTAGATTTTGAGGCTGAATGTTTTGTGTTTTTTTTTAATGAACTAATTTGACAGGAAATTTCAAGGCAGCCCAGCATCAGAGCTGTTCTGTAATTATTGCTAGAGCCTTTTTGCCAAGTTTAAAATAAGACTTGAGAGTAAAAAATCACAGCTAAATGTTAGAAGAACAGAGTTTTCTCAGAAAAGGAGCCCATGTAATGTTAGGGTAAAGGAAAAAGTGGCTCTTGAAGAGATTGGGGCTGTTAAAAATAAGGCAAGTTGGGGATGGAGAGATGGCTTAGAGGTTAAGAGCACTGATTGCTCTTCCAGAGGTCCTGAGTTCAATTCCCAGGACCCATTTGGTGGCTCACAACCGTCTATGATGAGATCTGGTGCCCTCTACTGGCATATAGGCTGTATATATAATAATAAGAAAAAATCCAAAACGGGGGGTGGGGAGGCAAGTGGTTCACATCTAGGCAGTAGGGACGAGTCTTGATTCTAGGAATGAGATTCTACCCATCTCTACATCTTCCTTGATCCAAAGGGTTTGTGGCTATAAGCAGGCCTTGACATTGTCCATAAGGTGCTCCATGAGATGCTGGCTTTGCAGACAAGTGGAGTCCAAGTGTGCCCACCTAGACTTGAAGCCTGGAAGGAAGCTGCAGTCCCTGCAGGCAGTCCCAGAGAGGGTTTTGTGTGAAGCTGGGAGGGGGAAGCCAAAGGTACAGTGGAGACCCCAGAACCATCTGCCAAGTGGAGGTACGGGCAGTGAGCACACACCAGCCTGAGAGAGGTACGGTGGACTGCAAACAGCAAGGCCATCGCTGTGGGACTACCTAAGCCCTCCCAGTGCACCTCACACCATGCACCCGGATGCCAGCCACGGAGCTACAGGATTTAATGTTTTCTCTGCTGCGTTTGGCTTGCCGGAATCCCATTCTTCCTTTCCACACCCCGTTCCTCTCTTTCAGAATGGGAATGCTTACTCTGGGCCTACATGTTGGAAGTATGGGGCTTTTTGATTTTATGGGGGTTCGTTCACAGCTTACCTTGAGTCTCAGACTTGGACTTCTCAACAGTACCAGAACTGTTAAGACTATGTTAAGACTGTTAAGATGTATTTCATCAATAGTTCTCAACAGGTGGGTCGCAACCCCTTTGGGGTCAAACAGCCCTTTCACAGGGGTTGCATATAAGATATTCTGTATATCATATATTTACATTACAGTTCATAATAATATTGTAGTTATGAACTAGCAATGCAATAATTTTGTGTTTGGGGGTCACCGCAACTTGAGGAACTGTTAAGAGTTGCAGCATTGGGAAGGTTGAGAATGACTGTACTAAATACAGTTTACATTCTGCGATGGAGATGAGGGTTTGGGGGCTAGGATGGAACAGCATGGTTTGAATAGGAATGTCCTCCACAAGTTCATCCATCTGGGCCTCGGTTGCCCGCTAATGGGCTTTGGGGAAGTGATTGAAACTGAGGGGTTTGACCTAATCGAGGGATTAATCCACTGATGGATTCAGAATATGTGCTCTTGCTGAAAGGTGGTAAAAAGTAGGTGGGGCCTAGCTGGAGGGAGTAGGTGACTAAGGGTGTGCCTAGAAGAGCCATATTGTGTCTTCTGTTTATTTTTTGGCACTTTCTGCTTCCTGTCTGCCATGATGTTCAGCTCATCTTGGATTGGAACCTCTGAATCCGTGAGCCAAAATAGTTCTTCCCCATAAGTACACCTCCCTCAGGTATTTTAACACAGTTATGAATAATGAGCATATTAATGTAGTAGCAAAACCTCAAATCTAGTATTTTCATTAAAGTAAGGTTATTTTTTTTTTTTTTTTTTTTTTTTTTTTTTTTTTTTTTTTGGTTTTTCGAGACAGGGTTTCTCTGTGTAGCTTTGCGCCTTTCCTGGAACTCACTTGGTAGCCCAGGCTGGCCTCGAACTCACAGAGATCCGCCTGGCTCTGCCTCCCGAGTGCTGGGATTAAAGGCGTGCGCCACCACCGCCCGGCAAAGTAAGGTTATTTTGAGTTTGGTTTTGAGCTGGTGTGTGTGTGTCAAGGATTAAAAGCAGAACTTTGCACATGCTAAGCCAACACTTCTACTACTAAACAATACCCCCAGGCCCTTAATATATGTATGCTTTTAAGATTTATTTACAGCCAGGCGGTGGTGGCACATGCCTTTAATCCCAGCACTCGGGAGGCAGAGCCAGGCAGATCTTTGTGAGTTCGAGGCCAGCCTGGCCTACAGAGCGAGATCCAGGAAAGGCGCAAAGCTACACAGAGAAACTCTGTCTCGGAAAACTGAAAAAAAAAAAGATTTATTTACTTATTTATCCATTTATTTATTTATTTATTTATTTAGGCTTTTTGAGACAAGGTTTCTCTGTGCAGCTTTTGGAGCCTATCCTGGAACTCATTCTGTAGACCAGGCTGGCTTCGAACTCACAGAGATCTGCCTGCCTCTGCCTCCTGAGTGCTGGGATTAAAGGTGTGCACCACACTGCCCAGCCTTAAGATTTATTTTTATTAGTGTGTGTGTTGCGGGGGTGGTACCATGTGTATGCAGGTACCCATGGAGGCTATAGGATGTTAGATCCCTTGAAGCTAGAGTTACAGGCAGTTGTGAGGCACAATGGATGCCAGGAACTGAACTCTGGTCCTCTGGAAGAGCAGCAGGTGCTTTTAACCACCGGATCTCTGTGAGTTTGAGGCCAGCCTGGTCTACAGAGCGAGTTCCAGGATAGCTAGGACTGTTACACAGAGAAACCCTGTCTTGAACGTCCCCCCCCCCAAAAAAAAAGAGAAGGAGTTATACCACATCTCACAGAGATACATGAGACAACATTCATGTGGACCTCAAGCAGAGAAAACACGACTGAGTTAAGTGTTTTACAGAAAGGAAAAGGCAAAGCTGGGTAAACCTGTTTCAGGACAGATCTTGGGTAGTATGGGGTTGCCCTTAATTGTCTCCAAGTGTCCCTGATGTAATTAGGGCAGGAAGATCTAGAATGGAGAGCAGATAAGGTGGGCCACAAAGGGAGTCTGGGTTTCCAGGCCTGGGATTGGTTGGTTTACATATGGAAAGTGAATTGACAGCCACAGCAGATTTGCCTTCACTGGGAATGAGCCATCTGGAGCAGGGCAGCCTCCCCGAAGGATGAGCGTGACCTGGTGTTAGTGCATCCGAATTACGGGAGGGAAAAGATGTGGTTAATAGAATGTCACTGAGTAGTCAAGTAAGTAGGAAGTGAACATTTGGGAAATTTGGGGTATTATTTTTTTTGTCATTTCTAGAATAACATCTTTCAATTTCCTGAAGTGGTTGTTTTATTTGCTTGGTGGTGTTTGTCCGTCAGCAAAGGTTTTAAGGTTTTACCATATTACAGAACTTTTATTAAATTTGTTCCTGGACGTATATGGGTTTCATTATTGATGAAAGTATGTTCTCAGTTTCCACTGTATTTTATGTGTAGTTCTTGTAATTTTGTGTGTTGATTTTATACTTAATATTTACTTCTTGAGACGGGTTTTCATATAACCCACACTGGCCTTGAGTTCACTATGTAGCTGATGACCATGAACTTCTGATCCTCCTGCCTTCACCTTCTAAGAGCTGGGAGTCCAGGCCTGTACCACTGTGCCCCATTTATTCAGGGCTTTGTGCATATTATTGCAAGTTTTCTACCAACTGAGCTACATCCTCAGCCCTGCAGCCCTGAAGGAATTAATTATCTTTTTTTTTTTCTTCCTCGAGACAGGGTTTCTCCGTGTAACAGCCCTGTCTGTCCTGGAACTCATTTTGTAGATGTGGCTGGCCTCAAACTCACAGAGATCCTCCTGCCTCTGCCTCCCGAGTGCTAATCCTAAAGCTGTGTACCACCACTGCCCGGCTGGAATTAATTATCTTGGGACTTTTCCTTTCTCATCTAGTGGCTTGTATTTGCAAATCAATGTTCAGTTGTATTGGTGGGCAGGTGTGCTTCTAAATGTTTCAGAATCACCACATCCCTTCTCAACTTTCCTCTTCAGGAGCAAAAGATGACAGGAAACCTCCAATGAGCATTTCTTGGGGCTGCAGTGTTCGCATACTGTTACAGTTTTTAAATGTTCTCCCAAATAGATTTGAAGTGTTCTCCAAAAGCCCATGCGCTAAATGCATGACTGCCAGGCTGTGGTATTGGGAAGTTAGGAGGTGGAGGAACCTTTAAAAGTGGGACTGGCGGTGGTGGTGCACGCCTTTAATCCCAGCACTCAGGAGGCAGAGTCAGGTGGATCTCTGTGAGTTTGAGGCCGGCCTGATGTGGGACCTAGTTGGAGGAAGTTAGGTCACTGGGGGTGTGCTCTTGAAGGGTGTATCGAAACCATGACCCTTCCTCTCTCTCTGTGCTTCCTAGTTGCTATGAGGCCAGCATGCTCTATTATATGCTCCCTAACATGATGTCCTACCTTGCCACAGGCCCCAAACAGTGGAACCTACCAAAATAGACTGAGCCCTCAGAAAACATAAGCCAGAATAAAAATTTCCTGCAGTAAGTGGATTTTCTCAGGTATTTTTTTTTTTTTTTTTTTATCAGTGGAAAACTGATTTTCAGATGTTTTCCCCAAAGATATATAATGACATGGGGAATAAATACCTACCATTTCTAGGTTGGGTAACTATAGTAATTTTTAAATTTGATTATTGCTTATGAAGTACTAACCAATTCCTTGTTAACTAAACTGCCTTCCTTCCAGGCATTGAGGCCAGTGGCAAAGACCAACATTGAACCAGCTGATTTTTTGTGGTCTTAACTTTGGAGAATCGTGGGCCAGCTTTTCTTTGGTGAGTCAACCAGGATGGCAGTAGTCCCTCTCCTTTCCCACAGAGGTGGAGGCACTAGTAAAGGGCTGTCGACCCGGGTCCTTTTGAGAGACCAGTGATAATGCATGGGGACTTTGAAAAGGCCTGTTGAGCCACCAGATGAGGGTGTAGATCAGACCCCAGAGGAAAGGGAGAGAGGAGGCGTCCATGCTTCAGCAAGGCAAAGAAGAGGGAACAAAGCTTCTCCCAGAGAAGGGCCACCTTCCTGTCCTTGCTGGACTCCCTGGTGGGGGATAGCACAATACCTGTGGCCATGGTGCAAACACATGGCAAACTTGAGAGTGGCAACTGGGGCTCTTGTCTCAGGCGTGCCTCCACAGTTGGAAGGAGAGTCTCTTGGTGCCCCAGGCGTATCCTGAAGGTCTCCTTGCAACTGCCTTTAGACTGAGGTGGAAACCCGTGAGGCACAGTTCATTCTGTGGGACAGATCCAAGGAGGTGACCCAAATGTCTGCAGCTGTCCATTTTAGATAGTATCTCGGGGGAAAGGCTTTGAGGATGACGAGTCCACACGGGCTCTGCTTTGGTAGGTGTTCACCCTCTCAGAGCATCGGCCTCCTCTTCTCTAGTGAGGGTGGTAGAAAACCTAACTTAGAGTTATGTGGCTGAGATACTGTTCATGGAAATGCTTAGCCGCCAACAGGGGAGCACACCTCCCCCCCACTCTGGCCTCTGCTCACATGTTGGTTCAGCAGAAGTCCAGCTCAGGCCCATCGTCCCCCAGCCGTACAGTGACCATGTGTCTGGCAGTCTGAGGAGCCAACCACAGACAACGTTCCCCTGGGCAGGTTTCCTTCCACACCTCAGCACAAGGCTGCACTGTATTGTTAGCTCAGGAAAGGCCCATTCATCTGAGGCAAACTGAATTAGCCAGCAGTCGGCAGCCAGGAAGTCACATGCTGCATTCCCAAACCAAGTAGAAATTAGTTTTAAATTATTTGTTGGTTGCTATTATCTGTGCCACAGCTCTCTCCTATTAGGGCCCATCAGAGCAAATTGACTGCAGTCGATGAATGGATGTGTGGCAAGCCGTTTGCGGGTGTGGGGCTGTCCCTTCATGTGTGAGCAGTGGAGTCCGCAGCCCGCCTATCACAGGGCAATCAACTGAGGGGCTTCAGATAATTTCGATGAAACATATTGGAATCTTCAGGTGGGACCCACACAGCCACACTGTTTAAAGTCCCCTCTGCCCCATAAGTTTCCAGTGTGCTGTACAGTTTAAGAACAAGTAAAACAGTTTCAAAGCTTCCACTTCTAATCATGGGGACAAACTGACCTTGAAGAAAGCACGGTCTATTTCCTTTTCTTTTACATTTATTTTATTTTCTGTATACTGAAGTTTGTCTTCTTGTATCTGTGGACCATGTGTGTGGCTGGTACTCGGGGAGGCCAGAAGTGGGCTGTGGTGATGTGGATGAGAATGGCCCGCATTGGCTCATATGTTTGAATACTTGGTCCCGGTGAGTGGAACTATCCGGGAAGGATGAGATGCGGCCTTGTTGGAGGAGGTGCGTCACTGGGGACAGGCTTTTAAAGTTTCAGAAGACTCATGTGATTCCCAGTGCTCACTCTCTCTCTGTCTCATGAGTTGTAGATTAAGATGTGAGCTCTTGGCTGTTCCTTCTCTCCACCATCATGGACTCCAACCCTCTGAAACCATACGTCAAATGAAATTCTTCTATAAATTGCTTTGGTCATGGTGTTTTATCACACAGTAGAAAAGTAACTAAGACAGAAGCCGTTTTGCCTGCTTGCCCTCATTCTTGCTGGGAAGTTCGTCTACCCTGTTACTGAGACATTCCTGTTCTGGTGTTAGAACCCACTTCCTTAGGAATTCCAACAGACTGAAGACCAGCAGCTCCTAGGACTTCCCTGGCACTCCAGCACTAGGAGTGCTGAGAAACTGCTGAGACATCCAGTCCGAACAACTTCCATGTTCTTGGCCTTTCTGTTGAGAGACGTCCACTATTGGACTGCTCAGACCATGGACTATTAGCCACTCTAATAAATCCCGTGTGTGTGTGTGTGTGTGTGTGTGTGTGTGTGTGTGTGTGTGTGTATTCATTCTATCGGTTCTGTTCCTTCAGAGAACCCTGACTAATACTAGGGCATTGGACCCCCTGGAATTGAAATTACAGATGGTTGTGAGCCACCATGTGGATACTGGGAACCTGGGTTCCTGGAAGAGCAGCCAGTACTCTAAAAGGTGAGTACTTAAGCCCCCAGGACTTAAGTCTCTTTTAAGTATTTAGTTTGTTTTAGTGTTACGACTGACTCCGAAGTGTCTTCCATAAAGGCCCGTATGTCTAAGGCTTGGTTTCCAATGCAGTGTTCAGAGATGAGGCTTTAGGGAAGTGACCAGACCATGAGGGCTCTGTCTTAGTGGGTAAAGCCATTGATGGACTATAATTTGATAGTGTATTGGGAGGTGATGGGGACTAGGAGATGGTCTTGAAGGGTATTCTCTCTCTCTGCTCTCCCCTTCCCACCTCTTCTCTTCTCCCTGCCCCTCCCCTCCCTTCCCTGCCCCGTCCTTTTCTTCTTTGCCATCGTAAGGTAAGCACCCCACCAAAGCTCTCATTGCTGTGAAGTTTTGCTTTACCTACCACCCAAGGCATGGATCCTGCCAACTAAGGGTTGTAACCTGAAATCATGAACCAAATACAGTTTTCTTTCTTACGTTGTTTTTCTCAAGTGTTTTTGTCACAGCAATAAAAATTTAAGAACCGTAGCTTCTTTCCTCTCCCTGTGTCCTTCTTCCCTGGGTCTGATTTCATGGGGGATAAGGCAGGCCCCATGTCATCCTGCCACCAGGGGAGACACCTGCTGCATTGGTTTTCTATCACAATGTGAATGTGGCATCAAATTCTCCATTGTGTCATGCCCCACTGGGACACCAGAGTGCTCCACTGTGACATCAGTATCCCTCTGTGACATTAAAATGCTCAATTATGACCTCACACTACTATTGTGGTATCACAAATGTAAATTGTGATCATTCGATGCTCCATGGTGCCATCACTATATTGAATTATGATGTCAAAGTTCACCATCATGTCATCAGAATGTGAATTGTGGCATCACATCACAATGCTCTCCTCTCTGCCATCAGAATGTTCCATTGTTTCATCCCAATGCTGAATTACGTCTTCACAATGCACCATTGTGCCATCACAATGCCCTGCAATGATGCCAGAATGTGCCTTTGTGCTGGGACAGTGTTCCTACCTAGTGCCTCATTGTGACACTATGGTGATCTATTGAGCCATCATAACGCTACAGTATTCACTCAGTGCTCTCGTGTGACACCACAGTGCCCTATTCGGTCATGGACATCAGAATGTTCCATTGTAACTTCACAGTACACTATTTGGCCATCACAATGTGAAGTGTGTCACGACTGGGGCATCATGATGCCCATCGTGCCAACACAGCAGGGCAGTGATGACACAAGGGAGCAGTGTGACAACACAATGTAATGGCAAAATGGAGCCCATAGATAACACAATGCAACATTGTGACAACACAATGATGAATTGTGATATCATAATTTAATGGAACATCAACTCATCACAATTTACATTTGTGATGCCATAGTAGAGAATTGTGATGTCATAATTGAGCGTTGTGGTGTCATAATGGGACAGCATTCTTTTTTGTTGAACTCAAATATATTCTGTGCATACAAATGTGCATATATGTATATATATATATATGAACTATTCAGATAAGTTATAGAAGGCTATACATTTTAATCTTTCATTTCCCACTATTATTAGTGCTTGTTTTCCATCTTTGATAATAGCAACGCTGTGTGTGTGTGTGTGTGTGTGTGTGTGTGTGTGTGGTGTATATACTTGTGTGCACTTGTATATGTGAATGCATACACATGGAGGGGCCTAAGGTTGATTTTGGGTGTTTTCCTCTATGGATGTCCACCCTAGTTTTTGAGACATGGTCTCTTCACTGAACTTGGAGCTTGTCGTTTGGCTAGAGCGACTGGTAAGCAGACTCCCAGAGGTCTCCCATTCTCCACTGCCTCCCACCCAGGAGTTACAAGTGAACATGGCTGTTACAGGCTGCACCGCTCATCTTTTATGTAAGTTTTGGGGATCCCACTCATGTCTTCATGATTGCTAAGTGAAAAATTTGCTCACTGAGTCCTTTCCCAGCTCTACACTTTTTTTTTTTTTTTTTTTTTTGGTTTTTTCGAGACAGAGTTTCTCTGTGTAGCTTTGTGCCTTTCCTGGAACTCGCTTTGGAGACCAGGCTGGCCTTGAACTCACAGAGATCCGCCTGCCTCTGCCTCCCAAGTGCTGGGATTAAAGGCGTGCGCCACCACCGCCCGGCTTTTTTTTTTTAAAGCTAGGTCTCTCACTGGGACCTGAAACTGGTTGATTAGGCAAGGCTCGTCAGCCAGGTCAGTATGCCCAGGGATCCAGTGTTTCTCCCTCACCAGGGCTGTGATTACAAACATGTGTCACCATGCCTGGCTTTTTGTGCGAGTGTTGGAGATCAAATTTGGATCCTGTTTATGCTGCAAGCACTTTCCCAACTAAGCTATCTCCCCAGGTCCCAGTAATGGCCATGCAGTTATATATTGTATATATTATCATAATTATGTATTATCATGGGATATCTGACAATATCTGTGACTAAAATTCCTTCCCTAGAGATATGAACAATGTCTACCCCTTCCCCTAAGGTCCTAAGGAAAAGCAAAGATCGCACCATGGTTCTCAATGGAGTACCAATTTATTGGACTTACAGAGCATGGATGAGGGGGATGCCAACAGGTACATGGGTGACCCCCAAACAGCTGCAGTACAAAGTCCTCACCCAGCATCCCCATGTCCTCATTGACATGTCCCCATGTCCGCTTTTCCCTGGTCTTCCCCAATATACACACTCGAACCCTCCCTCAAGTCCCAGGGGCTTGTGTAGAGCGGCATACAAATGGTTGGGAGGAGTGGCTGGAATATCAAGGAGAATCCAGTGATCTTCCCCACCCTTCCTTCTCTGAGGAAGCACCCAGGCCCATTTGTGATGGATTGTTGCAAGCAGGCTTAGCTGATCTCATGAAGATGGCAGTCGTGTTGCTCAGAGGACAGCGCCTTCCAGCATGTCTCTCTCTGGTTCTGATCTACATTCCTCTCATGGTTAGTGAAGATGGGTTTTTCTTCATATACTTGCTGGCTGTTTGCATATGTTTTCTCTGAGAAGCACCCAGTTCTTTAGCCTAATTTTAAATTTTTGGCATTCATCTTTTGAGTTCTTTATGAATTCTGGGTATCATCTTTTATAAGATGAATAATTTGCCAATATAGTCTCCAATTTTGTAGGTTGTCTCTTAGTTCTGTTGATTATTTCCTTTGCTGTGCAGGAGCTCCTTGTATATAATATAGTCTGACATAATCCCATTACCTGTACCTCTGGTCCTACCTAATTATCATTGCTTACAGCTGGCCTTGTGCAACCTTTCAACACTGCAATATGACATTGTCATCTACCACGTTCATATTCAAGATCTCTGCCCTATCAAGTTACAAAAACAAAACACACAAAAATCTCATAATATTTTAAGTATGATTTTGTGTTAGGTTGCATTCATCCTGGGGTGCATGCAGACCACAGGCCTCAGGGTGAACATACCTGTAAGTGTTCCCCTTGTGTTTTCTTGTAGTAATTCCAGTTTCAGGTTTAAAATTGAGGTCCTCAATCCACTTGGGGTTGATTTCAATGTACTAGCACTGGAGGATCTAGTTTTAACTTCTACATATGCAGGTCCAGTTTTGCCAGCACCATTTAATGATGTCACTTGTCTTTTCTCGGAGCCTTTGGAAAGAATAAGCCAGCTGCATGAGTGAAGATTAATCTCTGGTCCTCTGGTCTGTTCCATCGTTGGTGTTGTCTGTTCTCATACTAGTATCATGCTGTTTTAGTTACTATAGCTTTGGATTACATTTTGAAATTAGATATTGTGATGCTTCCTGGTTCTCAAGACCATGGCTTTTTGTTTGTGTGCTTTTCTGACAGTGCTGGGGGATGGAACCTAGGACCTCACACATGTTTGGCCGGTGCTCTCTCACCTAGTTACTGCCTTAGCTCTATGCCTCCAATTTCCCCCTCCCTACTTCCTTTATTTTTGGCCCTGCTCCTGGTTTGGCTACTCCAGTTCTTTGTGTGTGTGTATGTGTGTGGTTCCAAATTAACTAGGAATTGTTTTATATTTCTGTGAAGAATATTGTTGGTATTTTGATGAGAATTGCATTGAAACTATAGATTTTACTTACAATATGGTTATTTTAATAGTACCGATTTTTCCTATTTCCAAACTAAAGAATGTTGTTCCATTTCTTCTGTCCTTTATAATGTCTCTCATCAGTGTTTTATAATTTTCATTGTAGAGATCTTTTATTTCCTTGGTAGATTTATTCATAAACTTTTTACATGGATATTGTGAATAGGATAGTTTTCTTTTTTTTTTTTTTTTAGGTTTTTTGAGACAGGGTTTCTCTGTGTAGCTTTGCGCCTTTCCTGGAACTCACTCTGTAGCCCAGGCTGGCCTTGAACTCGCAGAGATCCGCCTGCCTCTGCCTCCTGAGTGCTGGGATTAAAGGCGTGCGCCACCACCGCCCGGCATGTTTTCTTTTTTCAATTAATTAATTTTGCCATGGGTGTTGGGTCCCCAGGAACTAGAATTACAGACAATTGTGAGCTGCTATGTGGGTGCTGGGAATTGAACCCAGGTCCTCTGGAAAAGCAGTCAGTGCTCTTAACCACTAAGCCATCTCTCCAGCCCCGAGATCATTTTCTTAATTTCTCTTTATGAGGTTCATTATTTGTACATAAACTATTACTGTTTTTATCTGTTGCCTTTATATCCTCCAGCTTTTCGAAATACTTTTCTAAGTCCAACATTTTTTGATGGAGTACTTGGTTCTTTATAGGGATAGAATCATGTCATCTGCAAACAGGGATAATTAAACTTCTTCCTTTCCAATTTGGATGCCATGTGTTTCTCTTGATTAATTGCTCTTGTTAAAACTTCCAGTACTTTATTAAATAAGGGTGGTGAGAGTGGACATCCTTGCCACATCCCAGATCAGAGAGGAAATGCTTTCAGCTTTTCCCCATCTAGTCTGATATTGGCTGTGTGTGTGTGTGTGTGTGTGTGTGTGTGTGTGTGTGTGCACATGCGCACGCTGTTCATTGTGGTAGTTATAGTTATTTTACTTTTATTTATTATTTATTTTTATTTTTTTTGTTGTTGTTGTTGTTCCGAGACAGGGTTTCTCTGTGCAGCTTTGTGCCTTTCCTGGATCTCACTTTGTAGACCAGGCTGGCCTTGAACTCACTGCCTCCCGAGTGCTGGGATTAAAGGCGTGCACCACCACCGCCTGGCTTTACTTTTATTTCTAGTGATTAACTTGTAAAAATTTTAGTGTGGCGGCGGGGAAGAAGCCCGTGGAGACCAGAGGACGACATCTGGGAGTCGGTGCTCTTCCTTGTTTGTGCCGTGCAGGCTGGCTCCTCTCACAACCCCAGCCTCAGAGCTTCTCTAGTCTGCTCCCCCCTCCTTGCCTGGAGCCCTGGGCCCACAAGGGCTGGAACACACAACATAAATCAGACTGGCCTTAAACCCGCTGAGCCACCTCTCGGGCCCTGAATTTTTGTTTCTACTGTAGGACTCCTGTAAGTGTTTCCCTGAGGGCTAGTCTGGTGGTGATA